ATAGGCTTGAGGCGTTTCAGACAACTGCGGTCTCCAGTGATATGGAAACAAGTTTATATTTTTCTTTGTTATAATAAGATCCATATTAAATGAAGTAGATAAGGCATTAATTGCGCCAACATAAAAGGAAAGATTTTCTTTTTGCTAGCCTAGTGGCACATATATATGTCACCGCCCCGTTATGAAGGGGACGCTCATAGCATCCAGCAATCCATCGATCCTTCCCCTCGGCGGCTCAGACTATGGGGCGTAGGTGAGCGTACCATATGTCTCGTTAGCAGTTTGCCGAGCCCGGTGCACTGTCGGGCGAAGATGTAAGAGTATGTGAAACACCGGCGCTCATCGTAATGTCTGTGCCCGCTTTGCTGGCCTTCAACCCGGGTACGGCGGTGGCGAATCGGCTGGCCGTCGGCGACGGTGAAGCGGGAAGAAGGCCATTAGATCACGTGTTCAAACGTGGAAGCGCCCGTTCGCCGATGTGGAAAACCGTCTTTAGGGTGAACCACCGCCACACCAAGAGCAAATTGAGACCCTGGCCTTTATGAGGACATCGGCCACAGTGACGTCTTAATTTGCTGTCCCCTTCGTCGAACTGCATCACTAAAAGCCTAGCTCTTGCGTCAGGTGTGGCACGCTTTCACCATGGCTCCACGCTCGTCATTGCTACTAATGTAACATTGGGGAAAGTTCTCCTGCCGCACAGAAGGCGAGAGGGTCGGCGGCTGGGCGCAACGTTGCTAGGCGTACGCAAAATCAGTACTATGTACGGCTGGCCACCGACCAAGATATCGACGTTCTAGCCATCCAGAAAACTAATAGGCACCCGGCAATGCAGTTTACGAGATCTGATGGTAGCGCCAGAACACACAGCCTAGCAGGTAGGTGCAACAAAACAGTCTTTCAATGCGTAGCCTAGTGAGTAGACGCAGCAAAACCGTACTTGCACGTGCACATCATTTTCTTTTTTAGTTGTGAGCAAGGGGGTCACGGCTGATTATGTAAGCGCCCAGGAAGCGTTCTTTGAAAACATGCCAAGAGGGGCATTGACACTTCAGTGTGTCACTGTGTTCAGGGAGCGTTCCACTTTCTTGTGAGAGAATGAGAGAGCGAGAATTTATTAGAAGGTAGAGAGGTCGGGCCTGAGCTAGTCCGCTCTAGCCTGCTTGTCTACACAGGGGATAAGGAAAGGGGGAAAGAAAAGAGGGATGAAGGGAGATGATGGGGACAAGAAGAGGTGGTGCGTATGTACAGTAGCCATTCAGCATAGTACCCTACAGTCTATAGTGTCTAGTCCAGTGCTTTTTATAAAATCTAAAACAGCCTTTGTAGCAGTTTTTGACACTGTTTGGTCGTTCATTGCTGACAATATGTGGCTTTCACTCAATGGCGTTCGTCCGATGCTTGCCAACGTTGCAGTTAGCATTTTTCTTTGCACCACGTATAATGCACAGTCACAAAATATGTGAGCTAAAGTTTAGCGCATTTGGCAGCGCTCACGATTTGGGCTGTCCCCACGGCCGATTAGGTGGGTGTAGTGCGAGTAAAGGCGACGCCCAGGCGAATCCGGTGCAGTATAGTAGCATGTCTTCAGCTGATTTCAGATGGAAGACGAAAAGTCATACCGGGGTCTGTTTCCCGCCAATGCTTGTTCCGGTGATCTGGTAGCGACCAGTAAGTGGCAGCGCATTCGCGCATGAGTGATCTCAACAAAGTGTCGACGTCACTTCGCGAATACGGTACTTTGACGTACATAGGAGCGTTTTATACTGTCGCTCTTGCTTCACTATCGGCTGTTTCGTTGCCAACCAGGCCGCAGTGTCCCGGAATCCATTGGAGTGTAATCAAGTGACCGCTCCTGTGTGTTAGGTCAAATGCTTAGACGATTCCTAACGCTAACTCATAAAATTGGCCTCTTCTTGAGCAAGAATCGATAGCTTGAAGCGCTGATTTTGCATCGGAGAGAATAGTCCATTTACGCGGTGCTTGGTCGTTCAAAAATTTTATGGCTTCCTATATAGCAACAAGTTCTGCAGCTGTTGAAGATGGCCTGTGATCTAATTTGTACTATCAGGAAATACCGAGTTCAGGGATCACGAAGGCTGCAGCTGAGGCAGACGAAGTTACGGATCCATCGGTGTAAATGTGCACAGAATCGCTGTATCGGTCATCCAAATGTGCTAAGGTGAGTTGCTTGAGGGCAATATAAGAAACACGCGACTTATTCGAAATTCCACGTATGTGAAGGCACACCAGCGGTTTAGTCAATGTCCATGGAGGCACTGCAAGGATTACAGCAGGTGCAAAGCCTGAAGGAATCATGTGTCTATGCGTATCGTGGCATCGCGAATAGGTACAGCCTGGTCGGTCCTCTAGTAGCGAAGACAACGGGTGCTCTGCATGTCGGGTCAGCAGACGAAGGTGCACTCGAAGAGGCTTACAGGACGTGTAAATCTGTATAGGGTAACTGCGGGACTCCTCTATAGTGCCAGAGGTTGACGTGCACTGTGGTAGGCCAAGGCATATTCTCAGTGTTCATGTCTGAAAGCTCTCTAAAGTACGAAGGCACGTTGCCTGCATGCCGGAAAGTACAGGTGAGCTGTACCGTATATAGCCCACAAATAATGCCTTGTATAACTGCAGGAGACTTTTCTCTGAAGGGCCCCATCTCAGTCCTGCTATAACACGAAGAACATACATAAAACTGATTAGTTTGTTCCGCAGCACAGTCACATGCTTTGACCAGGACAGGTTGCGAACAATGACGACCCCTAAATAGCGGTGGTGCATGACCGCAGGAATCACTACTCCGTCAGCGAAGATTGGTTACCGCGACATTGATTTCTTCGTAAATGCTAATGTAGCACATTTTGCTCTTGAAACTTCCAGGCTTTGACGACGCAAGTACCTAGATTTTACTGATGTGCCTTGTTGTAGCCTTGGTCGCAGTTGTGGTCGTGTTGCTCCAGATTCCCATATGCATATGTAGTATCCCTGGCGGTCCATACCAACAATGCTGAGGCGGCCCAAAGAGCTTCGTCACACCCTCTGGTTCACTGTCGGGTGCCTATAAAGAACTACTAAGGTTCGGAGAGAGGAGGAGACCAGGAGCGTGGTGCGCGTCGTTTCACTTGGGGATATTATGCAGTCGCAAGGACATCAGTGAGATGTGTGTGTGTGTGTGTGAGCATGTGTGTGTGTGTGTGTGTGTGTGTGTGTCAAAAAGGAAAAAAATTCAGAACCTTATTGTTCAAAGAGTGTTTTCATGTCAATCAGGCAGAGCTAGCTGTTATTTTGTTTTCTGTCAAATCGAATTCCAAGTGAGCACCCGATGGTGTTACGAGCGCGCTTCAGTGGATAAATAGTGAAAATTAAGCGCGTTGTTTTGATTGGGGACTTCAATTGTATTTTAAGTGCTAGGGATAGAGTCAACAATAGAGGTATCTGCTACAGAGGCAGCGACGTATTATCTAAGTTAATTAGCGAGAATGTCCTGCACAGCGTGTACGAATATGTTGAAGGGACTCGCGAAGCGATCTACACGCAATATCAAGGCAACAGCCACCCTCTGTTAGACCGCATGCAGCTACTAGACGTTATACCAATATGTCACGATTATTTTGTTAGGCCAGTGTCTTTTTCAGATTGTTGCTTAGTTATGTGTCGCATAGGTATGAAGAAACAGCGAAAGCCTTGTAACTGGGATTTATGAAGAGTACTTATCATTAAAAAAGTAGAAGCAAATTGTAATAGTGGCTGGATTTGAATGGTAATAAAGTGCAGGTTATAATTGGTAAAATACGTTACATTTTAATGCATGCCACACTTAGCACATATGAGCCTAATCAAGTAAGTAATCGACTTACAAATAATTAATCAACTTCGCGGTGGTTTGCACAAATGCAGATTTTACCTTGGGTAGGTGCTTTCGCTGCACAGCAGCAACATGTTGCAGTGAAACTACCTTTTCAAAGGGATTGGATGCGTGTAAATACAGGGTGTTTCAGGAAAGGTGTCTGGAAGTCATCAGATATAAGGAAAAACGTGTTTTCATGCTGCCTTCGGAATTTGTCAGTAGGGGCAGGCATCCTCCGGTGAACAAAGGCATCAATTAGGACAGTAATTAAAAATATATGGTAATAAATATCCATTTATTTGGTAGAGGTATAGTCGGTCGGGTCAAATGGAAAAATTGTATCCCTTCCTGTAAAAAGCCTGCCTTCCAGATTTTGCTAGAGGAGCCTCTTGCAATTATTAGCGATTAATGGAACCTGACGGATTTCACTGGCAAAACGGAAACTAGCATCGTGGTACCAATAACTGATACACATTGCTTTGTGGTTGTACAGGATTCATTTGTGATTAGAGCACGCACAGCCCACATACATTACATACGTTCACAAATGCACAACACCGGTGCAGTCGCCATCGTGAACGGAGACGTCATCCTGGCATCTGCTAGTTGCCATCGTCGGACATTCGATGTCAATTTTGCTGGTGAATTTAGTTGAAATTAATTAATAATCAATTTCACTGCACAATAATTATTAGCCGACGAATTCAGAATATCTCAAAGTAGTATAAATGAGTCTTCGCAGGAAGGAGAGCAATTCTCCCATTTGACCCACCCACCTTTCTCTGCTAATAAAAAGGTAATTTTTTTTATTTTATAACATTAATTACTTTTCATAACAGAAAAGTTGTCATGAAGACGGCGAGTAACAATTCAGTTTTCCTTATTGATGATTGTCAAACGTTTCTCAAAACACCCTGTGTATGTTTATTGGTTCATTTCAAATACTCCGAAATTTCTAAATTAAACAATTTTATGTCCTAGCCCATTCGAACACTGTAATATTTGTTCGAATATTCGAAGCACTCGAATATACCACAGAGATCGCCAGCACATTATTCAGCATACCATTTCCCATATCTGTCAAGGCCCCAGCTCCAAGTGTTTAGGTGTAAATATTTGCAATGTCAAGACCACACGACAATGCTCATAAGTTGCATGACGATTTTTAATCACACCACAGCGTAAGGCGTCATAGCCATCCTGCACAAACGTTGGGCCTGTCATGAGCACATCTCTGCCATGACTAACACACTCCCCGCAAGCGTGAAATAGAGAGCTAAACATGGAAGACATGTTCAACATTAGATGATGTTTCGGTCAATGTTTCAGGCCTTGTCATACCTGGTGACGTCAATAAATGCCCAAATAAGTATAAAATATGCCGACAAAACCTAAGAAAGTAAACAGAAATGAGACTTTGCAGAAGAACAGTTGCAACACCCCTTAGATAAGGAGGCAGGCTTCGTGGTAGAGATGGCAAATAAAACACAGTACACTTCCACTAATTCAACTCTGATGATGATTCAACTGATGGGTCTGACTACCAGCCACCATTCATAGAATGTGATGGGACCCCAGCTTTGTAGTCTACCTTTTACATAATCATGTACTAACCTTTCTCTGGCAGACGCTGGATCAACCAGTACTGCCGAAACAAAAGCTTCCGGTACAAGAAGTGTTTTGCAACTTTTTCACTAGGTGTAGGGTGCATTCACCATAGCATTATAAAAAAGGCAGATTTCAATCCTGAATCTTGCATTTTCTGGATAATTTGAACATGACATGTCACTGACTTCAATGACCAGATAAACAACTTCGAAGGCTTCTGAGTAAAAATGGTAGCTCGGAAGTAATTACTATGCAATTAACAGGATTCTGTTGTGTGCTTTTATCTATAAAGAAAATTTGCCAGAATATTGCACAGATTAAACAATCTAGCAAGAAAAAAAAAGCCACTTTCACAGTGGCCTACCATTAGAACCAGCACAGTCATTACTATTGCCGCTGCTGTCAGGATAGCAACAATAATTGGCAAATGAAGAATCACAGTAAGACAATAACATAATTTGTCTAATTAAGAAAGCCTATTCAGTAGACAAGTTACGTATATGAAGAGGCAGTCAGGTGTACTCCATGCATCCAAGGATGTACTGGCCCAGTGGTTAGAGTTGTGAGTTGCCATTCTGTTTACGACTGTTGAGTAATTTAGTAAATGTACATTATTCAATAAGCCATGTATCATTAAGAGTAAGATATACTGCAATTCTTCACTGACTGCAGTAAACCGTTATTCAAAAGTAATAAGAATAGACATACAGCAAGTTATTGTACTATATTCTGTGAAAGTAAATTTTACTGGTTCTAGAGTTTTTTCAATGCTGAAGTCGGATGCACAGTGCATTTTGCTAACCAAGAAAGTCAATACACACTTGATGTGCTTTTTGCTTGGAAGCATTGATGCAACTCTCCCATTATTTTTCATAGTGATCTGGTTCGCCACAAAAAGTGGACTCCCATTCATTTTGGTGGTGTGTTACGATTGGAACACCTCAAAGCTAATAGAAACTGCCAATGTGTATTGCCACTTATTCTCCTAGCTTGAGTCTCTCTTCCCGATAGGTTTGCTAATTTCGTCCTTCCCCATTAGAGTTAAATTAACCAAGTCAATCACATAACACTTTCTCCAGAACAGCAATTCAATCGAGGCACATTAAAAATGACTATAAACACAAGACCAGCTGCCAATGACCAAATGTAAGAGAAGGGAAGTTGGAAGACCATCCGATAACATTTCTTAAGTTATGGTACCACTGTGGTTGTCATCTATAAATTATGGTCATTGTTCACTGGCACTGTGTTTCCAGTTTTGTAATGCTACTTGCAAGCTTGTAACCTATTGTACACTGTATCTTAATTCCACAAAGCAATTAAAACAACTGCATTGAACAGGGAAAGATGACAAGGCAGCTCAAAAACTCCACATCTGAGGTTTAAAACGAAAGCATCTGGAAGTAAGAAAGAATGCAATTGCCATGTGTATTTTGCAAGGTGTAAAGAAAAACAAGTGTCATGCCGATCATAATGAATGGCAATGAAGAGAGATGCACACAACTGTCATAACATCTTTAAGATATGGCATATTGCACAAAGCACATTGGACAAATCTTTATGCTTATTATTTCCATGCAACTTTTCATTCGCTATCGAAGCAAGAAAAAAAAAAGAAGTTCTGCAAGGTCAACAAATACAGTCAAACTCCGGTATTGCAATATTGCCTTGTAAATCACATGCAAAAAAAAAAAACAAAAAAAACAAGGTGCCTATGAACAATTTTCGAATTTCACTGCATGAATGACCGTTACAGCACAATTTTTTTTTGCACCATAACAGATTAATATGTCTTTATAAACATCACCACAGCAAAGTCTTGTAATTCAGTGAAACATGCTAAATCGCAAAGAAAAAGTAAGGATTGCACATTGATGCCCCCTTCCTGTGGCCTTCTGCTATCGCAAGGAGGACCGCCAGACTAATTCAAAAAGGCAAAAGGTCTCGCAGCCTGATATATCTTTCAAATAGGCATGGATAAAGGATAATTATGTAAACTTTCACGTTTTTGAACACGGCTTTCGAGAAGCAGCGAATTCCCACCTCCGATAATTCTCTAACATTCTTTTGAGATTGCGAGGTTGTGGCTAAGCTACAGATGGGGATAGTTTATTAAGCATTGTCAGCCACCTATTTGTAGCATTAAAGGGGCCCTGAAAGACTTTTTCAGGTAACGATGGAATGAATTCACTGGAATAGTTTAATGTCTCACAAATTCAACGCCACAAAAATTTTAAGAATTCGTTCAGTGCGAGTGGAGTTACAAAGGTTTGTCGCATGCTGCAATTGCATTCTCTTTTCTCTCGTCCCGAGGAAAGCGCTGGAAGCCAAGCAGGGAGGGATGGCAGGGCCACAGAAAAACGTCACGCGAGCTTCGCGACCTTGAGCACTTTTATTCTTTTTTTTTCTTTCAATGCGCGACTTTTTCAGTGTGATCGCGTGCGCATGCGTGGACAAGTACAGCCTCCCGCGGCAATCTCGGTAACGAGCAAGCGCGCCATGTTCAAATCAGCCAATGGCTGATAGACGGGGTTCCTGGGCTTATTTTCAGTGATTTGTCGGGAGAAGAGAAAGCTATATTCAGCTGACTTTGATAATATGTTGTGAATTCCAGGCTGCATGCTGGCATATAATATTTGGCTCGTGTGTTGTCGGGAGCCTCTACTACCGATTGGCAGTACTTTCCAACCATGCTCAAAAAGTGTTGCAGGGCCTCTTTAAAATACAAAGTAAGTCCACACCAATTTTCCTTCTTATTTAGAAAAAACCTTGCCAGTTGAAGGTGCATTTGCCCTGCACGGGATTCGGAGCTTAGACCAGTGCCTTTTGGGGTGGTCACTCAAACAGCTGAACTCATCAGGAGCCCAGCAGTATTTAGCGCATGGACAGGTTGAACTCCGAAGACAGGAATATAACTTTTAAATAAGCACCGGTTATTTTATCGTCATACTATTGCAGTGAAGCTATGAAATGTGGTTATGCTTTTTCTCATCAACTTTCATCACTGAGCTTTTGCTATAATTAGTTAATTCATGCTCAGTTCTTTCAGAAGAAAAATCTCTGTGAGAAGTGACATTATATCAGCACATTTCACATTTAACATTAGCAAAACTTAGAATGATTCTGTTTTTTTTTTTTTTAGTTTGACTGTATTTGAAAAGACCAGGGCCGAGACAACTCGACACAGCACTCTTTCTTAACGAGTGCATTGGAGAATCGCATGCACATGAACTATGATTATCATGACTGCTCCTTTTGCAACTATCCTTATTCTTCAACTATTTATCATTGATGATAATGATGTCAAAGTGCTAACCTAAACGAATGATAAGTGAGAAACAAAATGAAAAAGAAGAATGATTCGCTAGGATTACTTTTTCATGGTTTATATAAAAAGAAAACAACAAAACAGAAACAAGGATAAAAACTCATTTACTAAAAACAAGAAAAAAAAGCTGACCCACTAAGCAGCTATTTGCGTACAGTTGTCTTTAAAAATCTCAAGCCCACCCTTTAGGGACACAAGAATTCCGAAGCAAATGAATGGCACATAACATGTTTTTTGCACTAGTTATGGACCAATGTAGCTAACTATTGCCATTGAGATCAGCACGTCATGTGTAGATACCTACTTATAACCAAACTATCCCGTATAAAAAATGCAAATCAAATCAGACAACTGCACACGTCGAACAGCCGCAGTGTAGAATCTACACTGCCGAACATACAGGGTCCAAAAATGGTCTCTGAAATCTTGTCCCATAACGTAAGATGTCCCACTTGTCACATAATTGTACAGACAGTGCCGTTGCATGGCACCATGAGCAATATATCTGCGTAGAAGTTTGTGATGGCTTCTCAAGGCACTGTGCAAATTCTTACATGCACAAACATACACGTACGTGTCATGTGCATACATTCACCATCTACACTGTGGATAACTAGCATTTCCCACATCATTTGTTCATTGTGTCTGCTTCACAGGACGGCTGATGCTGGTAACAGTGGCGTGCACTTGGGAGCAATTGTTCACTCAAGTACAGTCAACGTCACGAACAAAGTTATTGAAAAAAAAGTCACCCTTGTTGTCCTGAGGTTGCTTGCTGCCACCATTGCTTTCGCCGGTCAGTGCACATTTGTAGATACTCATCATGATGCTGCATTCGCTCACACACAAAGGAAAAAAAAATGCTGGGTCCACAGCAGCAGCACACACAACACCCGTATCCACTACTCCAAGATCACTGACGCCACAAGAGGCGCAACACAAAACACCTGAGTGGACTCTGTAGGGACCTTTTGCGGTGTTTCACACAGGTGGGGACGATGACAGCAGATAAGTTTCGTCACAGACACGAGGCGAAGCAGGTTCATTTCATCACCACACAGACGATCGACGCTGTCACACAGTGTCTCAGCTAAAGGTAATGAAAAGAGACATGGGTTGTGTTTGCAAGCAGTCTCTTCATCAGGCACCAAGGAGAGGGCTTGCAGTATGTGCCATTGTGAGGCACTCGGTGGATTCGAAGACGGGGAAGGCAGACTTGCAGCAGGTACCGTACAAAAAAAAAGGAAACAAGGCACGGGAGGTGTGTGCTCAGTCGTTCTCTAGACGGGGTGAAAGGCACTCTTCCTTGATGCTCATGTCCAGGGCACTCGACGTCTCTTCCTCCTCTGCCTCGCGAGCTGCTGTGGCAGCATCAGATTCGGCTTGCTCCAAGAGTGACCGCTGCTTGCAGTACCTCAATTCCTTGGGTGGCCGAAGGAACCTGGATTGCAATGAAGTGCAATGAAGTGGCGAATGTCAATTTAGCGGTGAAGGTGTGAGAGAGGTGTTGGCATTACATGATCAGATATGTGGATAGGTGTACTTTAATTTTGCAGGTCCCTGTATTGTTCGTTTCCAACTTCAGTTTACATCTCAGCATCACCTCGTATTTTTGTAATGCTCGAATACAGCACATGCTATGTTCAAGGCATGTAGAACTGCTAACGAAGAGAGCCAAAGCTAAAGCTAAAGCTAAGGCTAAGCACAGCTCAGCGTTGCTGGTGGGGGCGGGAGAGACCAAAATGAAAACCTGGTGAGAAGGCTGAACTTATTGAAAGGAATAGCCATGCAAAATTAAGTGCCAGGTAAAGGTAGTATAAAAATGAATAAATCACAACATATCCACAGAGTGAATGATGAGTAGGGTGAAGCATCTGTCCGTCCATCCGTCTGTGTGTCCGTTCATCCATGCATGCGTCCATGCATTCGATCGTGTGCGAGAATGCAGACGATGCGCAGGTAACACAGACGAGACGTGAGCCAAGGAAGCCAAGCGCAAAAGTTTTCAACGCGCCCACCGCTCTGCTTTGTCCATGCCCCACCAACGATCCGCCACGTACGGCGACTATCCAAGAGACTGAGAGAGGCACTTGTTCTCCGCACCCTCAGGCAAAGCCTGCCCAGCAGCCAATCGAAGAGAAGCGTCACTTTGGAGAGTAACGGCAGAGCAACGTCATCTAGAAATTATTGATTGATATTTGGAGTTTAACGTCCCAAAACCACCATATAATTATAAGAGACGCCGTAGTGGAGGGCTCCGGAAATTTTGATCATTTGGGCCATTTAGGCAATAAGACGAGAAATGGTCATCCATTTATTTGCTTTGCCTTCATTTCTTTCTCGTTTTTTCTTCTCTCGGTTATGCGTGACCAAATACAACGTGAGACTAAGAGGAGCTCGGCACGAACAATAAGCCCATTACCAGCCCACATAGGTGGTGGACACTCTACCACTTCAACTGGCCAGCTAAGTCGATATGGCCCTACATTTCCGTCGCTGTTTCTCACTTTCACTAGCCTTTCTCTCCAGCCCCCTATAATTTCCACATGCAACCCTTATTTGAGAACACCTCTTTCTACAATTTGACAGTCCTATTGCTCTAGGCAATAAAGAAGTGTGCACGTTTCCTTGAAATCAAGACTTTGTGAAGCAACCATCAATGCATGCTAAGCATATACACAATAAAAAATCCTTGAAATAACTGAAAAGGCACTCTAGATGTCTTTACATCGTGGAACATTAAGCAAACATTTGCCACAAGTTTGGTCAACAATGTTTATACAGTAGACTTTCGTGCATTCCACTTAACTGGTTACTTCAATTTTGGGAAGTATTTCTTAAATCTTGTTTGGAGGTCTCAAGCTAGGTCCATTGCTTTCTGTGAGACCAAAAATTTCTAACAGTGACAGCCCCATGAAAGTTTTAAACGGTTAGGATAAAGTAATTACATTGAACAGACATTTCCTCCTCTGAAATCCTTGGGCCTGCTCAAAAAAAAATTCTAATAAGTATTTTCCATTTTTGTCTCCATGAGAACTCATCAAAGAATTTACTGAGCAGTGCCATCCAAAAGTGGAACCAAACCAAGACTCATTTTGCTGCACACTAGTAAGAGCCAACTCTCATTAATGTACCCAATCGCTGTTGCTATCGCAACTGATGCCGGCCATGGATGGCTTGTTGTGTACATGATTTCGCAGACACGACAACGGCATAGTATTGCTTTTGGTTTGATCAGGAGCGTACTTTTAGAAGTCAATTTAATGCTTCTACAAGCAGTCACAAATCACATCTCATGCTCTCAGCCTTCCAGATAGTCGCGTACATTCAATAGTGTAGCAATCACAAAGTGCTGATGCCAGATTACATCTGAAGACCAGGATAATGTTTGCTGGGTTGGGCTAACATTCGCTTTGCATCATATACCCTAAAAAATAATGCAAATCCTCAACTATAGACTACGACTCACTTGAGACATTTGGGTTAAATTGCGTATCTTAGTTAAATTGCTTTCTTCGGAGCCATTCCTGTCACAGAGCACCATTTGTGCTTGTGTGGAATGATAAATTATGCTGCAAAACAAGGATGGTTAATCCATTTCAAAATGCCTCGGTACTGCCGCAAGGATGAATGCACAGAGTCAGCTTACCTGTAACAGAGTCGCTCGCCAGGCTCTTTTTGGAGGATCTTGACCCGGTAGTAGTAGCGCATGGCTCGCGACATCTTGTCAAAGTTCATGTTCAGGTGGTTCTTCTGCATGCCCCACAGCTTGGCCAGCCGGTGTGGATCGGTTATCTTGAAGACGCCCTCTTCCTCGTCCTTCCACGTGATGCAGTAGTGGTACCTCTGCTCGGGGTCATTCAGCAGCTGTTGCAGGAAGTCCCACAGCAAGCGGACACCTTTGGAGGATGGGCAAATGCCCAAAACAAGAAAAAGCAAACAAAGGTTATCTTCAAACACAAAGAACATACGTTTCCATAAAAAAGTTTTGTACTGCACAGTGCACCGGTAATTACTTATTTAGCATACAGATACAGATGGTCCTATGTTATACAGCCAACTGCCGATTTTTCAGACACCCGAATTTTCGGACATGCTCGATAATTCCGACATCTTCGCGGCACGGCCACGAGCCCCATAGAATCAATTTATAAGGAAATCTGAAATTTCGGATGCTCGAACCCCCAGGAGTCCAATTATCCGGACTTTTTGACGTGACAGAAGGTCGGAAACCACCACTGACCTCCAGTGGAAACCACCACAACTGCGTCACAAGTGATTACGATCGTATAAATGAGCGCGCCGGTCTACTGTGGCGGCATCTCTTGCTTGGACTCTATCGTTAGCGGAGAAACACACACGGCTTCCGAGATTCCTAACACTGGCCATGTTTATCGTGCAAGGGTGCTTCGCTGACAATCGAAACTATCCACCCGGAAATTTTTTGGCGCCAATAAAGTTCCTTTCACTTTAGCGCTTGTGCTCGTGCATGCCACTTTGGCTTCCCGCACAGCGCTTTCGCGAAGCGTTTCCCCACTTCGAACTAGAACCAACCGTCACACACAGATTTGGTCTGGCCACGCTGGCTATCTTGAATGTTTACCAGCGCCACCTCCGGAGTACCCGAGGCACCGTCACCTGCCGTCGCGCCGTTTTGTTTACGCAGCCCACATGATGTTTGGCTAGCCTAGTGCGTGATTGTGCGATCCTGTTAAGTGTGCTCTGCAACGCTAAGCCTAGGTGCTTCGACGCTCGTCAGCAAACTCATTTGTTCACATCGTGAGGATTTCACTTGCCTGCGATGGCCCCCACTCTGCCTTCGTCGTCGTCGCCGATGGCATCAAAGCGCAGAAAACAGTACCGTCGGTTAACGATGGAGAAGAAAGCCGCCATTATTAAGTTATTGAAGAGTGGCCGATTGCAGGCTGACGTGAGCAAGGAGTTCGGCATTTCCAAACAAACAGTTTCCGATTTCCTGAGGAACAAAGACAAAATCTTGGAAGCGGCCAAAAAACCGTCTGGTGCCCAAAAGATGAATGCAAGCCAAGGTGTTCATCCAAAGCTTGAGGACGCTCTCGTCGTGTGGCTTAATTCAATGATTGCCAAGCGGTTGCCAGTCTCGGGCTGCATCTTGAAACAAAAAGCGGAAACTCTCGCGCTTCGAATGGACATCACGAATTTTAAGTTCCGTGATGGATGGCTGAGAAACTTTAAGCATCGGAATGACCTCAAGTTCAAGAAGATGTGTGGCGAAAGTGGCGCCGTCGACAGTGCAGTTATTGCGCAGTACCGCAGTGAAAAACTCCAGTCTTTGTTGCAGCAGTTCTCTGCTGACATTTTCAACTGCGACGAAACTCGCTTGTTTTACAAGCTGCTGCCGGAAAGAACACTTGCTTTTGCTGGTGAACATGCCATGGTGGCAAGCATAGCAAAGAACAACTGACCGTTCTTGTCGGCAGTAACATGTCTGGCAGCGAGAAACTTCCTTTGTTAGTAATCGGGAAGTCCAAGAGCCCGAGGTGTTTTAAAGGGGCAATGCTGCCAGTGTTATACGAAGCCAACAAAAAGGTATGAATAACACAGCAGTTGTTCGAGAGTTCCGCCCACAGGTTGGACAGGAAGTTTGAACAACAGAACAGACGTGTTCTGCTCTTCGTCGACAACTGCGCTGCTCATGGTCACATCAATAACTTGAAGGCTACCAAGCTGGATTTCATGCCGCCCAACACGACTGCGATCCTCTAACCAATGGACCAAGGCGTTATCCGTAATCTGAAACTGTTGTACCGTTTGCGTATACTCAACCGCATGGTGCTGTGCTAAGAAAACAAGAAAGGCTGCAGCGTTGACCTTCGGTCTGCTGTCGGAATGCTTGCAGACACATAGAAAGCAGTAACGCAAGAAACGCTTCGCAACTGCTTTCGCCACGCGGGCTTCGTACTCGACAAAGAGGCAGCAGACTTGCCTGAAGAAAGCGATAGCGTGACTGACTTGTGCCCTCTCATGGTCGATATTATCAACGACCTCCGCTCTGCTGGTGCTTCTATGCCCACGGAAATAACTCTTGAGCAGTTCGTTGAAGCTGACAACGAGCTCGACTTCTGCGCAAAGCTAACCGACGACGAAATAGTCAGTCAGGTGACGGCGGATTCAGACGACGCCAGTGTCGAAAAAGAGGAACCAACGCCTGCGCCACCTACGACCGCCGAATTGATTCGAGCATTGATGACGCTGTCATTGGTGTACAGTGATGACATGACCCTTGCTCAGATCGAGGCGAATGTGTTTACATGCAAGCGGAACGCCGTTCAAACAAGAATCAACTAGTTTTTCAAGCCACTGCAGCTCTAACACCGGCTGCCCTGATGGCACCCGCTGTCGGCTGCATGTATTTTTTTTTTTAACGGCTCTTTTTAGAGCCACCCCACGGATGTTTTGGCAGAGTTCCGGAAGTCTGTACTTCGACTTTGACCCTCTTGATCTGAGAAATATCAATGAAATGGTGCGTCTTTTGCTTGCATTGAGAAATATTAGCAAATGGTGCATTTTTTTGCTTGCATTGAAAATTATCAGTAAAATAATGCGTTTTTTTGCTTGCATTCATTTTCTTGGACTGCCCAAATTTTCAGACGGTTTTTCGCTCCCTAGAGTGTCCGAAAAATCGCAGTTGACTGTAGAGAATATACTTGAGTTTAAGGCATGTTCAGATCTCGCTCTCTTGCAAAACTGTAGGCGCATATATAATCATAAGACTGCTGGTGTTCACAGTTCTTTACTGGTGTTCGACTCCTTTGAACAGACTAAATTTGTGCACAAGCTCTGTGTTCGCATCCGCTTGCAGTTATGGGGCCATAAATTTGAAGAGTGCGAATTTGAGTGTTCACTTCAACAGTAGAACAAACTGTGCATGCCCGCTGCTTCATTCACTGAGTCATCAAGGCGCTACTGTCCCGTCATCGCCAAGACACCAGCATCCATCACAACGAATGAAGGACACAATGGACAAAAGCGTCTCACTGCTGTATAAGTAGAAACTAATTCACAAACAATGCTTACAAACCAGGCAGGAAAACATGTAATGAAACCTTGCACTGCCTTCTTCAAATACACTTTGTCCCCTGACACCGATGAACCAGATCCCTGGTTCAATCTCGAGTTTCGGCACCGACATGTTAATAACAAGGACCCGTGGTCCTGGCTCTGGACACGTCTTTGCTGAGCAAAGGGTTAGCTCCGAACCACACTTCGTTGTTCTCTTGCTGTTGTCCCAGTCCCTACCACCAAGACTACCCCCCACTACCGTATAAACCGGAATATAAGTCGAGATTTTTTCAATAAAATAATAAGCTAAAGTCGCCCCTCGTCTTATATAGCGGTGTCTAGCCGAAAGTGCAACGCTGTCTGGCAACATATAGCTTGCATGTGCTTGTGAAGCCAGACGCGGCCATATCCGCATCCAAATCCAATCCCAGTCTGTTTTCTTTGTGTTCGTGATTTGCTTCTGATCTGTTCCGAGTTTTCGCTCCGCTTGACATGGCGCTGCATTTTTAGTGGCCTTTTTTTTTCGTTCACTGAATATGTCTAGCGGTGCGAGGAGGCAGTACTCAGCTGCGTTTAAACTAGATGTTGTTAAGTTCACAGAAGCGAACGGGAATATGACTGCTCAGCGCCGCTTTGGTGTATCAGAAAAAAGCGTGTGCTATTGGAGGGCGCAGCAAGGGAAGCTGCAGATGTGCAATCCTCAAAAAATGTCGTTTCGTGGACGAAGTGCCGTTCATCTGCAGCTGAAGGATAAGCTAGCGGACTTTGTGCGGGAAGTTCGTGCGCGCTCGCTGCCAGTGACCGTGGATACCATTCGCAAGAAAGCCGTGAAACTCGCTCGGGAAGATGGGCTCACGAGAGGAGAGTTCCGTGCACCGAACTCTTGGGTGCGTCGATTTATGCGACGCAAAGGATTTTCTCTCCGGCGGCGCACATCCATCTGTCAAAAGTTGACGGAGGAGTTCGAGGACAAGCTCATAAACGTTCAGCGCTTCGTAAACCGGCTTCGGGAGCAGAACGACTACATGATGGGGCAGATTGGCAATGCCGATGAAACCCCCGTGTGGTTGACATGCCTTCGTCGACCACGATCACGCAGCGCGGCGCCAAGGATGTCAAGCTGCTGTCCACTGGCAACGAGCACTCGCGCTTCACCGTCATGCTGGCATGCACGGCAGATGATAGAAAGCTTCCGCCCTTCGTCATTTTCAAACGCAAGACAATGCAATGGTGCGACATTTGGTGCGACAATGCGATGGTGCGACAATGCGACAGTTGCGATGGTGGTAGAGGGGAGCTCCGACGATCGGGATGGGGTGCGCCCGATTCGCAAATAAATGTGGTTCGGCAGTTTTGGGTTGTTTTCCTTTTTTTTTCTTTTTCGGTAACCTGAACTTGGGGGGTCGATCTATATTCCCACTCGACCTATAGTACGCTTTATACCGTATTCTATTTTCAACAATGTATTGAAACATGCAATATTCTACCAGACCACACTTGTTCTCAACAGCAAGATAAATTTTTGAAGCCACCCCAATTCTTGCTTCTTCTTTTACACTGTTTATATAAATGTGTTAATGAAATTTTCTGTACAGTAAGGGCTCATTGTTCAGATTCCATGGGACCAGAAAAAATTGTGCGAATTAACGAAATGCCAAGTTATCTAAACTAAAATTAACAAACAACTGCATGTTATATATTAACATTTTCATTTTCTTGATGAATCCGTAAACCCTGTAACTTATTTTTTATAAGAACATTGTGAAAGCAGCAATTTTCGTCATTCTGCAACTTTGTTTTCAATGCGACCTTGGCACCCGACTCCCATGCTTAGTAAGCTCAAAACATGCTCTGCAGCCTTCCACTACCATCACCACATGCACATGATGGCAGTGCCTTGATAAGTAAAATTGCTTAACAGTTCGCATGACGAGTGCTATTCCAACATGCTTACCACGACTGAAACCTCTTCTTCTTAAACAGCTTCTGCCATGTTTTAGTTTTGTGACACCACGTGAGCATATCATGAAATAAAACAAAAAATAAAACTACTGAGAGCAGAATGTGGACAAAATCGAGGTTCCTAACAGATATTGATGCTGGCAATGCTGCCTCAGTTTGGTTGTCTGCAAATGCCATTTTCAGTCTTGTGCGTTGCACATTTGCATTGATTAGGGCTGTCAGAATTGTCAGGATTCAGTTGGCTAAGGCCAAATGTGACCGGACAGACGAGATTTTAATGCCCTTAAACAATGAATATTCCGGTGAGGGCCAGAGAACACATTCCAACTGAATAACGAGGGTTGAATAATAAGCTTTTACTGTTCCTCTGGCCTGTAGTTGTTTGTAGTTCTCCTGTTTGCGGTTTTTCTAATATTTACTGCACTGCACCCCCTTCTATGATAGCCCTGTAACCGAGCTTCAGTATGTGAAAATAATTAATAATAAATAAGTAACTTAATTATTACTTCGTATTCAGTCGGCCATAAATTGGCTAAATTAACAAGGACTTGAGAAGAGGACATGCAACACAGGTGTGGCTGTGTAGTGTGTGCTGTTTTTTATTTAGCATAACTTTTCCGTGAACAGTATGTACCAACATGCCTAACTTGAACTGTGCAAATATTAATCTCCCTTAACATGAAGCTGAGGGCAGGGATAAAAAGGGTAGCGTTCTCTCATTTCTTGTTACCTTGAAGACATGTGGAAACAAAGCATAGTGTAGAAGAAAGAAAATAGCCACGTGAGGTTATAAATATTATGATGTAAAAACACACTTCGAATTTGTGTAAAAAAGAACTTTCACGTTTGGTTTAGTTCTTACGTCACATAGACACAGTTTTGAAACTGGCTACTCATCTTCCCTATCATAGCTGCTGCTTTTTGTGCACTAGCACATCTATAAATGAAGTCAACTTTGGCACCACCCATGACATTAGAGATACCTGCTATGTTAAATCTTGCAACAATTGCTTGGAATATGTTGCTACCTAAAGTATGCCTGTTAAAATTTCTTTTTCTCGATGACTGTTTTGATTGGAACGAATTTACATTCAAAATTCTATTCATTGAAATTCAATGCATAGCTCTTGCAAAGGTCTATACGGTACCTTAATTGACCATTTTATTGGACGTCTGCAGAGCATTTCTTTTTTAATGTGTATTTTAGTGACAAAATGCCATTTTGTTAGTGTTTACACACCTTGTTCTGCATGTTTTTGCGAGTGACCTATGAAATGGATGCTGCCGCTGCCTGTTTAATTGTGTAATTTGTGCAGTTTTACACAGTTAAATATGTAATGTGTAGCTAATTGTGCAGTTAATATAAAGTGATTTTCTTCTTTCTTCAAGGAATACCGTAGTTACTCGAATCTAACGCGCACCTTTTTTCCGGTTAAGCGAGTTCATAAATCGCATGCGCGTTAGAATCGAGTACGAACAAAAAAAATTACGGTCAATCTATTGCCATCGCAAATCCAAAATGGCCGCCCCCTACGTGCGTCGGCATGGCGCGTCGGCTATTTCTGCCTATGTGTTTCCCATGTGCGGCACTTCGTACGTGTGCTGAGGAGTTCGTCATCTAGTAGTGCATTAGCATCGACGGCGTGGAAGGGCCGACTCCAAAAACTCGAGTGCACCACGATGCCGCTTTTAAAAGAAAAATCATCGCGTGTGCAGAAACGGACGGAAATCGGGCCGCATCGCGGTCGTTCCCGAAACGTGCGTGCGGGACCGGCGGAAACAAAAGCAGAAGATTGTCGACAGCAAAGCTTCACGCAAAGGCTTCAGTGAACCACAGCAGGGTCGGTTTCCGCAAATTAAAGAGCTGCTCGGCGAGTATGTGCTTGAACAGCGAGCGGCACAGCGCCCCGTGACGACAGAACTGCTCCAAGTGCGGGCTATGCTATTAGTCTTAGAAAAAGGTCTAATGCGGAGCCAGTTTAAAGCGAGCAGGTGCTGGCTAATTAACTATATGAAGAGGAAAGGCTCTTCCCTCCGAAGGGGAACATGCATATGCGAAAACTTTTGCGGAGAAGTACGATGAAAAGCTTTACAGTTTTCAGAGGTTCGTCCTAAACTTGCGGCGCAACAACGGCTACCTGCTTGGGCAAAACTGGAATGCGGATCAGACGCCTCTTTACTTCGACATGCCTGGCACCACAACCGTCGAGAAGAAGGGGGCGAAGCAAGTTCGCGTGCTGACACGGTAAAACTACAGTGACAGCAATGCTCTGTTACACGTCAGATGAGCACAAGCTTCGCCCGTACCTCATATTTAAATGAAAGACGCTCCCAAAAGGAGTCGTTTTTTCGAGTGGTGTGATCGTGTGGGCCAGCGAAAAAAAATGGGTGCGCGTTGCAATCGATGTCTTACGTTTTTTTTTTTCGCGGTGGAAATCGGGTGCGCGTTACAATCGAGGGCGCGGTAGAATCGAGTAAATACGGTAAGATCAACCAAGGCACACTCACTCATTTTATCACCTGGTGCATCAGCAACGACCCGGCCAGTTGTGGCCGGTCTCACTGGAGGCATGTTGAGTGCCATGGGCGGTTGAAGCTGCGGTGGCTTTGCAGCAACAGGTGGCATCATAGGGTGCATCGACACGTCGGGGATCATGCCAGGGAATGCTGACACGCCTCCCCTCGGCGGGAATGCGACTTGGGTCGGTGGCGTTGGACTTCGCCGCACTAAATCCACGACACCCTGCGCAGGTCAAAGTGAAAGCGGACGCTCTGTAGCTCCAATGGCCACATTTTCTGGTACAGAAGACTAGTTTGCATATTTCATTCCTACTTTTTGTGTTAGTACATCCTACAAAGTTGTGCCCCACATTATATGCAAAAACAATCTATGCAGTTGCAGGGGTATTGTAGTAGACAAAGTGCAAAAGACCAGGACAGTAAAGGTGCATATATATAACAACACGTAACGCTGCCCTGAACTCCTGTGAGAAACAGGAAATGTCAGGCCCATGCTGTGTAGATGACAAACCCACCATTCATGCATTCGCACTCAACGAGCCGATTTATTTACTTTAACAAACACAGTAAGCTGTCTGTAGTAGCATTCACAAATAAGTAGATATCATTTTCTTCAGAGGAGAGCAACTATAGCCCCAAATGTCAGCTATGTACCGCACCTGTAGGCCTAACTACTGCTCTTGGTGTTAAAGTCGAGCATTCTTAAAATCGAACAATTAAAGCTCACTGCACGGATGCCTGAAACATAAAATGATGCCGCAACTTTTGTTTAGGCTATGTTCCCATAAAATATGTCCCCACTATGTAATCAATAGTTTTTGTGTGAGTGGGCCAAATGTCTGCAAACTCACCCATGAGCAGATTCCCACAGACTCAAATCAGGTCGTAAGCCTGAATCTGAGTAAGGAAAACTTTGGTGAGTTTGAGTCCGAGTCAGTCCAGTAGAGAAAAAGCTGAGAGAGTCCCAGTCTGAGCGAGTGCAGATGAGTAAATTTTTAGCTAGTCTGAGTTCGAGTGAGCCCTTTGAACAAAATATATTTTTTGAGTTAGTCTGAGCGAGCTCCAAGTATTTTGCCGACCTACGGAGAGGTCTCAGCAGTTAAGTAGGAGCCACACCGATTCGAGCAGCTGGATGAAATTTCTCTTCTGGGTGCACTTGTTCAGGAGTGTTTGAGGTTTGATGCAACTGGTTGTTACTCCAAAGCACATCATGCCTGGGAATAAACGAGCTAGTAAAAGCTCGTTAAATATGGAGTTCAAATCAGCAAGCAGGTGCTAGGATGGGTTTACACATTCTGCCACACTGTGCGGAGAGAACCCCAGAAAAGCCATTTCTGGGCTCGTTCCTGCAAATTAGGCAATATTAAAAGTTTGGGGCTGGTTATTTTGCAAATTAAGCTCGTGCTTTACAGCCAACAGAATTTATGAATCAGTCAGTGATGGGCCAGAAGCGAGCAGCAACTTGCATTCACGCGAGCAGTGAGTCTTAATGCCGAAATATATGAAGCTATTTATTAGAGATGTGTGAATAGCAAAATTTTAGATGTGAGGTGAAGTCAAATGCTGAGGTGTGAGTGGAAATTGAATAGAATATTTGTAGAATATTTTTGAAATATTTCGAAGTGAAATTGCAGAAAAAAAAGTTGGAAATAATTCCTAAGCATATTCTTATCAGATAGCAACATTAATGTGTTTATTTTCACTACGTCAATGCGACGTTGTTGGGTTGGTGTTCCATAGTCGTCTTATCAAGATTGAGGAATCGTGTTGATGTGCATGGTTTGTTGCGATCAAAGTGTTGCCAACAACACTTTGCACATGAAAGGCAAAGATGCTATTTCCTCAGCTTCTCTTCTCTTTCAACTTCTGTGGTGGCTAACTGTTGCGGCTGACAAAGGTGTGCTCCCTTCGAGTCTGGAGTTCCGAATCTGCCTCGTAGATGAAAACATCTGAAATTGTAGTTGCTAAAAATCTTCGGCATCCAATTTTTCAAACTTCCTGCCCAAGTTTCAGCTCCAAAACAGCATTAATTGAGCCCTCACCCCTGCCACATCTATGATCTCCATATTGAAATGAGCGTTTTCCTAAGTCGACATTTGCGACTGCAGCGGTGCTGAAAAGGCTGCTTTGCCGCTATACAGTTGTGTGTTGACGTGAAGCATATTGAAAATCTGAAGGGGTCATTTTTAATTGGACATTGATTTTATTTGTCTTTTTTAAACTTTGACCACAGTTAAACCTGAAAGCTCCAATAATAAAACTTCCAGTGTGAATCGAATCAATCAGGAAACACTATTCCAAAAATGTTTAAAATTTTGAATATTCGCACACCCCCACTATATCATGCTCCAAAATACGTTCATTTGCATGGCAGAATTAATGCAACCAAAATTTAAAGTCCTTCTTTCTTAACTTATTTAGAACAATATTGAAATTGCCCAAAGACAAAAGGCAAACATTGCCCGACTGATCCGTGCCACGCATACATCAGCAGTGGCAGACAGACGACATAAAAGCATACATAGATGAAAATAATGAGTAATTTGGAACATAGTTCTGGGCAGATTCATGACCATTCTGGGTTAATTTTAGCAAGGAGGAAAAAGAGCCAGAGGGCTCAAAGTTCACATTAACCATTGTAAATACCGATGCCTTCGAATTATTCGCCGTTTTCCCCCATAGAAATACATGAGGCAGTACTGGGACCAGGGCGTCAGTTTGAATTATACAAGTTGGAATAAACAAGCTCTTACTGTACTTACAAGTTTTTAAGAGACAGATGATAAATCTGCGGCTGCTGCCAGTCAGACTGGCAGGATTTTCTGACAGCACGTTGAAGGATGAAAGTCTCTGACAAGCTCTGAGTAAAGCGTAATGGGTATCAGACCTTTGTGCCTATGAAGAGCATCATTTCATATTTCTTGTTCTCCTAGAACTTCATACCAACCTAATTCAAAAATAGGTGCATCTTATGCAAAGACGCACCTGACAAAATAAGCTTTTTTCCGAAAAAGCTACGAAAAGTAGAGAGCGCGTCAAGTATGAAGCTACGACTTTTCCACTGAAAATTATATGGCAATATCTAGAGAGGCATATATTAAAGTTCTGCCAACTTGTTTAAACACTCAAAAGTTTAGCAAGCAACCAAGACGACCACTGGGAAGCAGGAGAAGCGGGATGCCGAATGGTACGCGCGTAACAAAGTCAAGCAAGATAAATGATGTTTATTATCTATGAATGACTAGGCAATTTAAGGCAGCATGAAGACATGTGGCCCATAACAGCACAATAAAACAAAAATGAAGAATAAAAAATGTAAATGATTGCAAGGTGCTTGGCTGATTAAGGAAAATAGCTTGAAAGACGTATTTTCGTTAATTGCAGTGATGCTATCATGCATTTAGAAGGAAAAAGAAGGCGGGCAGGAAGGCTGGTAAATACGAAACTCTTCGTTTGGGTAACTTCAGGGCGTAAAATGATAATTCAATGTACAAGCAAGGTGTGCTGTCTACCAATAAAGGCAAGTGAAGTTATCAGGAGCTGGTACTTTGATGATCAGTGGAATGCAGCATTTTTATATACACCAATAATCAAACCTTGCACTATTATATAGTCACTGGTGCTTGTGTAAGCTCTTGAATAAACTCATCACATTTTGCATGTAGACTTAACAGAGCAATCTGAAATGATAGTGCATCTTGCAAAGCATTTCGGCATATGTGCCAAGCAGTGCTAGCCCTTTTCTGTGCTTTAAACTTACTCACACCAAAGTAAAGAAAGAAAGGCATGTGGAAACAATATTGTACGAATGAAGCCAAAAAAAGCATGAGATCAGTTTCACGTTTTAAATCAAAGTTGGAACCAACACTCAACATCCTCACGACATTTGTCATTGTTGTTACCCTTGCTCTGATCACACACATGCTGTTTTGCTGCAGTGCTAGTTGCTCCTCTGTCTCCTTTCTTAGGGTTTATATGTATGTGTGCAAGATTTAACCCTGCAGGTGTTGACCCTAACTACACAACTTGCAGCAACTGTGGCAAATGGAGAACATTCTCCGCGCCAAATGTTGTGCAATGATTGCCAGTCTATAGGGTTTTTAAAGCTGCCGAGTCGGTATATGCACCAACAAGCTTGCAGTAAAAATGCTGTGTTTCATTTACCCTCTGTTGCAGTAGCAATCTTGGAGAGAACCTAAGCAATAGGATTGCAAGTTACATCACGTAAGCAATTATAAGAGCCTATGGTGTCCTATTCTTGTGTGATGATTTATGCACACGAACTTAGCTGATATGTTAACTTGTGTGGTAGCAATTTTGCACCGCAATAATTTTTTAAAACAAATATCTTGCAAAGTAATTAAATTTAAGAAAAAGTGGTGAAAAGGAAATCATTCTTTAGGAGTGGGAGAGCTGTCTGGAACACCGGAGAGAAGTTGTGTGGGATGTGTGTTGTTCAAGGTGATAGCGGTTGGGTTCTGCACTGAAGCCAATTAACAGGTTTGAGCTGTATACGGGCTTAAATAATAAGAAACACACACCCACCCCTTTTTTTAGAGGAAATACCTGTCAAATTAGCCTGAAGCTGTGCCAGTTGCTGAAACCCAAGTGCCAGACTGCTGTTACACAGGCACTGCCAGCGCCTTGCTGTAGATGCATTGCAATATGCGAGTGTCAACCCAGATGTAACATGAACTTTGTTATTCGGGAATTCGGTGTAAAGGTTGATTGTAAATGACCGTGCTTTTTTATATACGAGTTATTCACCCATTCCTTCCTTCATTGCTTTTTTTGTTATATATACATATATAACAAAAGCATCTTATGCAAGCAAACGGTTACGTTAACCTTGTCAGCGAGTGATTGCTGATGCAAATGGTCAATCTCACGAACATAAAAATATAGGAGGATCCTTGAGCTTCGCCTTAAAGAACAGATTGCAATAGCGCTATTGGGCCTCGTGCGCATCACCTTCTGAATTGCTCGCCAGCTTCAGTTCTTGATACATGCCTCAACCGTGCTGTGAAGTAACAAACAACTGTGCGTGTCAACTTGGCTGTTTCAAAGTATCATTGAATGCCTACTGTGAGCAGAGTTGTTAAGTGCCCATTGCGGCATAGTTATTCCTTTTGCGAATCAGCTAAGAGCCCACTATGTGTCTGCAGGGCAATACACAAACCTATGTAGCTGTTCACTTTGCTGATGCTTCTGTTACTGACAATGATTAAACATACCTGAATGCTTTGTAATGGATGGGCCTTTAAAACAGTCACTCAGAGCTCAATTGACATCGTTCAATGCCTGGCACGATTCTATAGGCTTCTGCCATATGTGATGCGTCAAGGAGACTCCCTCCACTACATGACATTCATTGACTGTTTTTTCCCAAAGCAGTTTGAACAACTGTTGTGGCTGTGTGGTAGAACACTCGCTTGCCACGCAGACAACCTGTGCTCATTCCTCGCTCAAACCCAGAAATTTTTGTTATTCATTTTATTTGCATCCTTCTCCATTTTTTAGTCGCGAACAAGATGATGGTTTCTCGCTCACACCCAACGATGCCCACGACAACAATGATTCACCATGTCTTGATTGATATTTGAGGTTTATCATCCCAAAACCACCATACTATCATGAGAGACGCCATAGTGAAGGGCTACAGAAATTGCTACCACCTGCAGTTCTTTAATGCGCACCCAAATCTGAGTACACGGGCTGACAGCATTTCCGCCTCCATTGAAAATACAGCCGCCACAGCCGGGATTCGATCCCGCGACCTGCGGATCAGCAACCGAGTGCCTTAGCCATTAGACCACCACGGTGGGGCACCGATTGCCCATGTCAATGCTGACACAGCAGAATTTCTGCGAAGCGAGCTTTTTAGCACTCTCTAGTCAATATGGGACATAGTGGTATGATGCACATTTGAAAGCACCTCAATGTGATCCAAGAAAACTTGTGAATTTAAGCACTACCTTTCTATGTGGTAGGTGACTAACAAGCTCATGGCACCTTCTCTATCTAAAGAATATACCAAAGACCTTATAACATTAAAGCTTTTTCCTAATTAGTGATATCCTGCCTACAACTCTTCTGCCACAAGCATATTTTTTATTTCATTATATATATAAGAAAAATTCTTGCGTGAGAGGTGAACTTTGTTTCCTTTTATGACTGTAAGCCCGCTGAAAGCTACACAGGAAAATGGCAAGAAAGCGATGCACCACGCAACAGTGGCGTCGCCGCACACTAGGGCCTTGAACATTTTCTTTTTTTGTTGAACATGATGGCTGCTACTTCTGGCTCAGAGATGCATGTGGCAGCACTTGATGGTGCCTGCAGTACCTACACAATGCGGCCATAAGGCCACCAAGATTTTCCGCAGGCACCGTTCATGAAACTAGCCAATACCTTTCTCGCCTGCTTCCTGCGTAGTTGGGCCTGCTCTCTGCGTAGCTGGAGACGATGCTGCGAAGGAAAGAGCAAGCCATTTTTGGCCGTTTTTGATACGAAATTGTAAATTACCCACTGCACGCAGTGCACTAATGTTTAAATCACAATCATTGGAGCCTCGGCTACAGATTGGCAACATTTTAAGCCCCTAAACTGCCTTGAACATAACCCCCCTCAAAGGACAAGAGGCTTTACTGCACAATATCAGATCAGAATTCAAGGTAGTATTTGCACTAATATCGTCAATGTGAAAGTATTTCTTTGTATCCAATAGTGCATCCGTGAATACCCCTGGCACTACTTTAGGAGTTTGCATAGTGCACGAAATCCGATGTCCAAGACACAAAAATGCCAGAGCTGCAAGTTGTCACAGTGGTGTGCGTGTCGGCTAGCAAGTGTACATAGCTGGATGGGCAAATGTTGAAACTCTGCTTAGGTGGACACCGAGAGTTGTTTTTCGTTAGCACCGTACTACAGCATCGCAAGTTTCATGACATGATACAGCAAAACTGTGCTTGTACCGGACATTCACGAGAATGACTGCACTGCCTTAAAGCGGGCGCACTCTGTTCCAGAGAAATACCAAGTTCACAGCCACATGATTTACTGATTGATGTTATGACAGTTACAAACTCCATGCCTCTATGAAAATGCAAGTCTTTTTTGAGGAAATCGTTTTTCTGAGAAAAATCAACACAGCCAAAAATCTCTTTTGTTCCTTTCAGATGAGAAAGCCTGACAAAGCCACCTTTGTGCAGCCAGAGGGAGGGACAGAGAGCGATGGAAAGCCATCTGACTCGACCGTCACCAACACCTCATGCCCATGAGACACAAGCCAAGACTCAAAAAGCCGAGACCTCAAAAGTGTTGCTGTAAGCCGAGAGCTCAAAAAGTGTTGCTGCAAACAAACGCACTATGCAAGAAGAGAGAGTTGTAAGTACCTGCTTGTCCACTAGCAGGGGTGTAGCCGCGAGGGACGGAGGTGGAGAGGAGTTTTTGGCAGAGGCAAATCCTCCATTGGACGCTGGTGTGCTGCTGCCAGCCTGCATGCCAGCGGAATCACTCTGGACGCTCTCGCCACCCGAGCTGGGGTCCGGGCTCAGGATCACAGTGCTGTCTACCTCTGCTGACAGCGGAGACACCTGCAGGGGCTAAAAAAAATAGAAAGAAAAAGAAGAGCTCAGAGTCAATATGTGCAGTGGTAGGCATTGCAGCCTTTATGTATCAATGCTATTACTGCATAAAGTGTGACTGGTCCAAATTCTCTGTTGATGCTCCCTACTAGTAATAACTTGATTGAAGTGCATGTGGATGGTCTTTCTTACATGGTGTTAGATGATACTGGAGCTCTGGTCTCTATAATAAGTTCTCATTTCAGTCTTCGCCCCAAAAAAGTACCAACACCTCCCGCAACTCGAGCCGTTCGTATCGCTGATGGTGGCACTGTAGCCGTCATTGGAATTTCGTACCACTCGTGTAAGCCTTGCTTGCCACCATGTTCCTGTTTTATTTACAGTGCTCTGAAATTGTGCTCATGACCTCATCTTTGGGATGAACTTCCTGTTTATCCATTCTGCCCTGATCAACTGTTCTGCCAGTACTCTCTGTTTAGAACTTCCCCTTCTTCCAGTTTCTCACTCAGAACTCCGAAACACCCTCTGTACCACAGACTTCATTTGGATACCAGCTAAAGCCCTCACTTTCATTGAATTGGCAACAACCTTCACCGTGCTTGACGGTGATTATATGGCCACGCCTTTTCCTGGTGTTCTCCTGGCATGTGACATCACTGTGCCACACTTCGTCGTAACCATAGCCTCTAACATGTCTCCCTGTCATCAATTTTAGGTTTAAGAAGAAAATACTACCCCAAGGAATCTTGCTCGCCCCGCTACGACCTTTAATAGAAAATTACGCTACCACTCATTTGCTCACACCTATGCTCTAATTTTTCAAGTAGCCCGCAGGATGCCCCAGGCCTCAATGCGGCCTTAAACCCCATGATCCCCCTGGAACTCAAACCTGAGCAATCAGACGCCCTATGCCACCTTCTGGCTTCATATCGCGACATATTCGACATCGACAGCCGTCCATTCAGCCAGAGTTCACTCGTAAACCACCACATCAACACTGGTGATTCTCTTCCTCTTCACTGCCAACCATGCCGCGTGTCTGACGCAGAGCATAAGGTAATTCAACAAAAAGTTCACAAGATGCTAGTCAAAGAAATTAGTGAAACCTCCTCAAGCCCTTGAGGGTCTCCCGTAATGCTCCTTAAAAAGAAAAATGACACATGTCATTTCTGCATTGATTACCGCCATCCTAATCAAACCATGAAAAAGGATGTTTACCCTTTTCCCCCGCATTGATGACGCTCTCAACTGTCTCCACAGTGTGCGATACAGTGGACTCCTCTTAAACGGAACACGAAGGGGCAAGAAAAGTTGTTCCATTTATGAGAAGTTTCATTTAGGCAAAGCCCACAAAATGAATGAAATATGACTTTATTTCAAAAGCACCAACTGTGGCTGACTAAAAGAAAAAATATTTTGAAGTATATACATTACTACTATAGTTGATTACAAAAAAAACTTTGCCAATATTACTGACTCGGAAAAAAAGAAGTGATAACAGTTTGCTTTGCTTTGTTCAAGCATTTTCTCACAAATTAAGACTGTATGGCCGAAAGGCTGGGCAGAAAATCTGTGCCACCATCATGTTCAAAGTAGCGCTGCAACAAGATCACAGCATCTGTTGCTGCACTGTCTGCCACTGCAATGGGTTCCGGATCACACACCATCTCATCTCCACTTGAACACGGCTCCTCATCTCGAACTTCAGCAATAAGTTTCTCAAGACGGCCCTCGCGGCATGTGGCGACGTTTTCATCAAGTGTTTCATAGTCCACTCGCGTGAAAGAAGTAGACTGTGTCACCTGACTAACATCTTCAACTTTTCGCTATCGTCCATGTTAGCACCTACTAGCACCGTAATACAATCTTTGCCTCGCTTTCCTCCCGCATAAGTTTTGCCCTTGTAAGCAAGTCTTAGTAAGAAGTGCTCAGTAAAATGACCCCATTTCTTCAACATTAAACTTGTCCCATTGATCATAGGCTTCCGAAATTTCTTGCAATCTCCCCTGTTGTCAGTGATTACAAATATCTCTATTTACAGCCGCACTTTTTCCAGAGACTGTCTTAAAGACAAGACCATGCCGCTTTTTAAAATGGCTCAGCCAGCCATCGCTCACCCGGAAGTCCTCGATCCCCATTCGAGTAGCAATCTTTTTAGCCTTCTGTTCTAAAATGGGGCCGCTGATCGGGAAGTTCGCACTGCGCCCTCGCTTGAACCGGAGGAAAAGAACATCTTCGAATTCTTTGTATGCCCTCGTTCTCATCCACATTCTGTCCGTAGCGAAGTTACCAAGCTTTACAGCTTCCTCAATCTTGATTTTGTTCTTGAGTATCCTCAACAACGTGGACTTGAGAATATTGATCATTTCGCAATATCTGTCTTCGAAAGGTTCTTTGGTCAAGTTCTTCAATGATATTTAATTTCGTTGTGAGTGAAAGTGCAATGTGCTGCCGTTTTTTCGGTTCCATCTCAAGTTCACGACGAGACGTCGATCGCTGCTCAGCGTGCGCAAACATGTGCAATCGCTGGATTGACTTGGCTAGGCTAGCTTCGGTATATGTTTCATGGTGGCAAGACTGCCGTGGCCACTTCTGCCGTTGATGGATTTTTGCCCGTTTTAGTTTCATTTAACCGATGTAAGCGAAAAAACATAATGTTTCGATTACACGAAACTTTTATCATTAAATATATAGAGACCAAACAAATGTGCCTAGATAGTTTCGTTTATGCGACTTTTCCGTTTAACTTAGTTTCGTTTAATGAGAGTCCACTGTACTTTTCTTGAGTAGACCTATGTTCTGGCTATTGGCATATTGGAGTGGACAAGAAAGACCAAGAAAGACCTGAGTTTGTAACTCCCGACGGCCTATATAAATTCAAGGGTATGCCCATTGGGTTATCCAATGCCCTAGCCACGATCGAGCACATGCAGGGCTTACTGCTACAAGGGTTCAAATGGTCAACACGCCTTTGCTACCTGAACGACACCCTTGTATAGATCGCCAACATTGGAAACCCACCTTCAGTGTTCACCTATTCTTGACATCTTTGGCACTGCTAGCCATGAATTAAACTATTTGAAGTGTCCCATTGGCCACCGGCAGATTACAGTGTTGGGCTACCTTGTCGACGCATCAGGTGTGCAGTCGCACCGGGAGAAAATTCGTGCAGTCCGAGTTTTCCCGTACCCCAGCCTGTCAAAGACGTCTGGAGTATTGTGGGACTTTGCTTCTATTTCAGAACGTTTGTGAAAGATTTGGCAACAACCACTCGACCACTCATTGACCTTCAGTAGAAAGACACAACTTTAACGTGGCATTTTGCTCAAGCTGCTGCTTTTCTCACCTCATCACACTTCTGACCTATATTGGTCCACTTTGATCCACCCGCTTTGATAGAAGTCTGAACCGATGCTAGTGGTCACAGGATCAGAGCCCTCTTAGCCCAACGTCAACAGGGACATGACCGAGTTAACGCCTCCACTAGTCGCCTTCTCATAGCTGCGAGCGCAACTATTCCATTGCAGAGTGTGAATGTCTAGCTCTTGTTTGGGCAATCTCAAAGTTTTGCCCATATTTTTATGGCACGAATTTCTCTGTAATAACAAGGCACAAGCTCACTATGTTGATCACGTACCTGCAGACATATGGACTAACGGAGCATCTGAATTGAGTATTACAAGCATGTTTGCGAAGTATGTTTCTTCCAACGACTCCGACTGAGACTTTGCTTTACCATATGTGACCTTTGCATACAATTCTTCACGTCATGACACTGCTGCTTACTCTCCATTTTTTCTGTTGTTCAGCGAATTACCTACATTAACCCAAGATACAGTCATCCTATCTGCCCCAGCACCTACCAGCGAATATGCCCTTCAGAACGCTATCACTCGCACTGCCCACGCACGTGAAATCGCTCGTACTCGCCTTCTGGCCTCTGAAGAGAACCAACGACATTTATACAATCAACGGTACCGAGACACGCACTTCTTGCCTGGTTATTTGGTCCTGCTGTGATCCCAGACCCGTCAAGTCGGCATGTCGGAAAAACTGCTTTCTCGCTACACAGGTCCATACTGAGTCCTTCATGCAGTTACTCCAGTGACATATGATAAATGAAACTGCCCTTGACACCTCATTGCCTACATCTGCCCCAAAGGCCACCGTTATCATACATGTGGCAGGTTTGAAGCCCTACCACTCTACCGACGACACTGACATCTATATACCCAGAGCCGGCACTTCTGCTGCCAGGGATTATGCTACATGCATACTGATATTTTCTGGGACGATGTCCGTGTGCACCTGACAAAAAAGATGAAGGGCCATCTCCACTCAGTCACTGATAAACCTGGTCATGCCACAACTGCTGGTTATAATATATTTTGTTTACAGCCTCACCAATCTAACGTCTCTTTTCTCACGTAACACTATGTTATGCGGTACGACGTGCTCACGCAACCTTTCCAGTTGTCCCAGTCTTCACAATCTCCCGGATACATTTAACGCTTCTACACAGTGCATGTTATTAGCAAACCAGTTGTGCAGAGCTTTACATATTGCAGGAAGAATCAAGAAACGAAAGAATTGTGCACCGTTTGTTTTGTAATCTGAACTACAAAGAGAACCTATGTAAATTTTTCAGAAAGCAAGCTTTGCCCACTGAAGAAAGATCCATATTCAAGCTCCACTTATGCAACCCTTTTAATATGCTTTTTTTCATAATGCCTTTCTTGCTGTCAGACAGTGAAACCAACGAATAAGATATGTGGATAAAAGTTGCTGCCAACTGATTTGAAAAGAAACGCTTAAGAATGACTATTCACCTGGGTGTAAGATGTCGGGTCCTGCAGCAACACCTGGCCATACCCCTGGATATCTCTTGTGATGACAGTGCTTCGAGGCACAGATCCATTGCCATGTGTACCTGAGAAGGAGCAAACAAACCCATGGGTGAGTTCTCACTGTACGCGATCAGATTATGCAGTTATACTTTATTGATATGGCCAATACTGTTACCACAAATAAACTTGCAGTCTTGTTCCCTCAAGCTGTAGCCTACCATAATTTAGCTCCCACTCAAATATCGTGCTCATAATCATTGCAGCGTTTCGTAATGTTGATGTTCTCCGACAGAGAATTTCAAGATGAGGTACTAGCATACGAAGACGTAGAGATGCATTTCCACAGTGATTGCCTATAGACAAACAAAAGCCATGGCAGTAACAACTGTACAATGGCACGGTAACGGGATAGATAAAACCGGGGACATGTGTCAAAATGTCAACAGAGGAATAGATAACAAGCCACTCGATTGCCAGTGTGGGATATGTTTGCGGCAGAACACCCCGAGCATCACAGGATAACTATCACGATTAACAATTTGCCCCCAATTTTCAATAATGGCAGTTTAACTGTTCAGCTTACGAGTCGGTTGCCCTTCATTCTGCCATTACAACTCACAAACTTGCTCTAGAAGGGTACCAGTGCTAGGTGAAACTTAGTGCCAGTGTGAAGAATACGCATAGAACTACGGAAAAGACAATACCACAACTTCTATAGTGTCATCTACTTTCTAGATTAATTCAGCAGAACCAACACCATGATTGATATGTGGGGTTTAACGTCCCAAAACCACTATATGATTATGAGAGACGCCGTAGTGGAGGGCTCCGGAAATTTAGACCACCTGGGGTTCTTTAACGTGCACCCAAATCTGAGCACACGGGCCTACAACATTTCCGCCTCCATCGGAAATGAGAACCAACACCATATCTTTCATAATAAAGATTCAAACTAAATATGCATGCTACCATTTCAAAGCAGTAAACATGGTATTCACTTCAGCAAAGGCTATATGCTAACTATTTCAATAGAGATGTTCCTATTATGTAACATTCAGTATGTAAAAGCATGAACCAAAGATTGTGTCCCTCGTTACCAGGGCATTTCCGCAAGCATATAATATGACAACAGCAATCACAAGCTGATAACTCACTTTCAACTGCGGATGCGTTATTTGAAGGTTGCAGGATCAGTCCCTGCCAGCGGCAAGTTCACTTTTCTTTTTTTTTTACATTTAGATTACACTTAGTAGTTCTAATAACATCTCTTACATTTTCTTGGGCATCACTGCCTATTGTTATTTCTCGATAATATTGTGTCTAAAAAAAAAAGATGAGCTTTAACTTATTACTTTTTTCCTTCAAGTACTAAACAAGAAAGGCGCAAAAAAAGTTAATATTGCAGTAAACATGAGCATAAGGTGAGCTTAGAAGGCCAACCACGAGAGAAACTGACCATTGGTGAGCCGGGCCGTGTGGAGAGCCCTATGTAACAGGAGCTGGAGGGCATTGAATAGGACGTCTCCCGCCTTTGGGGCTCGCTCCAGAAAGTCGGCCTTGGACAGTAGGCACAGTGCCTTTCCTGCACAAGAAAGGCATAGCCAGTCTCGTGAGCACAACAGTGAGCCTGTCATGACAAAAAACTTCTCGTCTTGCACCTCATTAGTTTGTTACGGTGGGCAAACAAGATCATACCACAAAGCCATCTTGATCATGGTGTTAGCCACATTAAAGGGAAAGCATCTCATTACCATTCGACAGCTCAATAAAGCTGATGTTTACAAGTTATTCAATACTGCTGTTTCATTCCTCGACAACATTAAATGCAACATATGCCACATTATCTTGCAGTACAGAAATGAAATTACCTTGAATACCATGAGGCGGTGTTCCCCTTAAATATGTAGTATTACCCTGTGCAGAAAACACCCCTTTTACAACCACAGCAGGAACAGAGGTGCAAAGTACTTCATGACCGATAGTACTCCAAAATTTTTTTTGATAACTTTCACAAACGTAACATGTAAAATTACAATTGTGGACAAAGCAAAATCATTTTAAATTCAGAGAGCAATAAAGCTTCAAACTTGCATGCCTTTATTGTTTTTGTGACTCTGTTAAATTGAAGATGTGCCAGCTAGCACCACGGGAAACCATCCTGAGCATCTATTTCTAAACTAGAAAAGTTATATATAGGGTGTAACATTAAATCTTGGATTCATAGAACTCTGGCAACAAATTTAGATCAGGCATTGAAAAAAGTGCAACATAAATTATTACAAGAAAATAATAAGTCTGAATGTGTGCTTGTTGACTGATGGAAAACTGACTGGTTGAATCGCTTATTCAATTTGTGGAGGAGTGCAACATTTGGCCCAGTGCCAGGCTGCGTGCCAAAAAGTTTGCTCACAGCTAGTCTCACACACCATTTAATGCAATTACACCCCATCCCGCTTCTCAGTGAGGTCAAGGTCATGTGCTTCACACTGTGTAAATTCCCTCTCAAAGGTTCAATCTGAGCCCTTTCAATCACACTGAGGACATTACCTTTAACAAAATTTTTATGAAGAGCACAACCTTAATCTACAGATTGCAAGAACATTTCATCTATGCTTATTTTCTGTTAAAGAGAACGATATTGTACTTTAACAATGGATCTCTTCAAGCTGTATGTCTGGCCACAAACCTTTCACGAAAACTCGCCTAGCTCTCGCATCAGGGTACGTTGCCTGGCAAACAACGTGCACATCTGTGCCTAGCAACCCATTGGAGACAGAAAAGGAGGAGGATAGGAGAAGTGCAGAGGAGGAGGAGAATAATAAGTAAGACAAACTAAAATCTCTTGCTGAGGCTGGATTCCGGGTACCAATGGTTTAAAGGCAAGTGCCGTAACATCTCTGTTATCCAGGCATGCTAGTGGAGCAAGAACTTATAGAAACAATGCTATATATTGTTCAGGGCAAGAGAACGAAAACGAGAGAAAGAGAAAAGAAAGACAGAGAGACAGTAAGAAAGCAAAGCTTTGCTATGTATAGTACAGTATAGAAAAGGGTTTTATTGGTGGATATGTGGGGTTTAACAAGCCAAGATCACTATGTGATTGTGAGAGACACCATAGTGGTGTCTCTCACAATCACACTATATTTTTTCATGCTCTTCAGCACAAATATGCTAAGCGTGAGAGTACTAGCTCGCAATTTCCTTATCAAGAAACAGCGCAGCAGTGCAATGTACCAAGAACGTAACAAGTACAAGTGCTGTGATTGTCCTCGTTCCCTTCTTTATACGCTGACCACTGTAGTAATTTCCCTGAACACAAATCTGTCATTCTATGAGCAGCCATAATAACTTACACTTATAAAGAATTTATCTTGCTACACTTGCAGTGAATCTGGGTGGGTGGCACGCGCGCATCATGTAGGCTTGCAGCGAGCAAAAACGGCAAGCTTGCTTCGCCACATAGCGCAATCTTCTTTCATGGGCGTCTGCCATATATGCGACTTCGGTTACCTTCCTCCCCTTTTTCCAGCATAGCCACACAGAGGGTAAAATTTAAGACAATATTATGAACGTTTCCCGGAACTGTATCGCACTACGCACCTTAATTGTGTAGACGGCGCGTGCCATGCTGAGAAGTATATCACTGCAGCTAGCTGGCTTTCAGAAACTAACCTTCAAGCTGTTTTACCTGCTGCATGTACTTCACATCTAACAATCAGCACCGCTTTCTACAAATTGCTAATGTTTAGACTTTGTGCGAAACTGCTAGACATTCCAGCGGTGAAGTAGCCCAAAACGCACCTTAAGCCAGGAAAGTAACAGCGGATGCGTGCTCTGTTAAATAGCTTTTCCATCACTTCGTGTTTACTTTATATTCTACATACGACGTCCGAAACTGAGAGCGCTCGCAAAGTTCCAACGTGCTTTCTTAAAAGAGTCGCCCTGAGCCATGCGTAATCAGGACGCCTCGATGCCAGCGTTCCTTCGAAAATGATAGTGACACACATGGTGACACCATTAACCACACCACCGCCATATTTGGTCAACCGGTGGAGCTTATAGGGCGGGGTGATGTTGCCATATTTATTCCAACACAAGGCGCTAGCTATCTACTATGACTAGCCATAACCATGCACGAAAGAACGCTAGCATCGATGAGCGTAGCCGGACTGAAGGGACGTGCCGGAACGCCCACGCGTCTCTCCAGTCCGGCCATGGATACGCAAGGCCCTGCATCTATGACTCCACGCTGCTGATGTATACGTCATTCGACAGCGCCAAAGTATCTGTATTTCCATGTGTTACACGCTCTCATACATGCACTCACCATTCATGTGGAAGTTCTCGGAATCCGTGGGCACCAGGGAGAACTGTTCGGTGCACCACTCGAGCCACATGGACACGTTGTGCTTGCTCCACTGGCGCGGGTCGTTGCCTGGAATGGAGTCGCACAGAAGAGAGTTCATGGCAAAGTTGGCGGCTGCCGCCGCCGCCGCCGCTGCTGCCGCCTCGGCGCTCCTCATCGGCGCTACGGGCTCTGGGAGCGGCGCGAAACCGAAGCGCAGTCCGCCGCGGCCACCGCCGAACACCGCGCTGTGTGCGGGGCACATTCAACGCAATCCACACCGCACCGTCGATACGCGGAATGTAAGGTACGTGTGCGAATGTCTACAAGCGTGTTGTATCCCGATGTAAATAACCCACACACGACTGGCGCGATAACATTAAGAAGCGCGGTTTAACTAAAGAACGCAGAAATCCACCGTTGCGTTTGTACCTTCAATGTCTCTCGGAGGCAAATTAGAGGGCGAACAAATGTGCCGCTAGTAGAGGTGACTAGAGGGCGATGTGATTAGTGTTAGAACGACGAACAAGATCGATTGATTGCGAAATGACAGAGCTACTGCACAATCAAACAATGACACAACCTGTCGGTATATTAGCGGTCGAGGTCACGGATAACCCTCAACATCCGAACAGTTCAGCACTGTCCGTATGCACGGAGGGCGAAACAATCGGCCGGTCAAGTCGAAGAGCGAAAGTGATCCGAAGAAAAGGCGTCCAGTCCCGGAACGCTAAGTAGGCAGCGACGCAGACAGATCATAGCGTCGGCGTCCTCGCGATGTGCACGTCTTCGGTCATAGTCGAGTCACCAACAAAACAACAAAAGTAACACTCGTCGTTGATTTGCTTTGCGGCTCTGTATTCCGAGCGCCCGTTTCGACACCCGCGGTCACACAACACAACGTCTCGAGGATGAGGAAGGCGATATGACGCGTAGACTCCCGTGTATTGATGTTGCGTTCCTCAGGAGTGGGAGAACACCGACGACGACGCCGCACCGAGAACAACCGCACGCCCGATGACGCCTTCGACGAAACACCAGCTGCTGCGATGCCGCCGGTGGTGAGCGAGTGAGCTCGGCGAAGAGATCGGCGCGACCGTGGCGGTGGTTGCTGCCAGCTATTTCCTCGGGGAAACTACCGCGCACAAAAAGAAACTGCTGCACTACAGCAGAGAGAAAGGGGGGATGCCTTTCGGATCGCGCCGGTAGGAGGGGTGTTTCCTTCCCCCTTGGTCCGCTTACTTCGTTTGTTGCCTCTTGTTTCATGCTTCCTCTCTCCTCTTTCCAACTCTTTCCTCCAGGAAAAAAAGAAAAGAAAGACAGGCCCCGTAGGTAGAAAGAGAGGGAGGAGGCGCGCGTGTTAGCCCAGGTCACAGAACACGCAACCAACGAGGGTGAAAGCGGTCGCCTTGGAACGCGACGGCGACGACCAAGACCACGGTCATCCGAAGGAGAAAACAACACTAACACATAAAGCTTGGTTTCTTTCCTCAATTTTTTATTTCTTCGTCACGCTATTTCTTCCTTTTCCTTTTAATCCCCTTTTTCTTTTCTTCTCACACTTTTTTCTCGCCACCCGTTCCTTCCACACCGGGGAAAGAAAAAAAAACATCGGCGCGAAGTAGTGGTGCTACGGCCGTAGGCAGCGCGCTCGAATAATGATAACGCTCAGGACGCCGAGTGTAGGATAAAAAGAAAGAAAGAGAAGAAAACAAGATACCTCATTGAGAGAGGGAAAATCGCTGAAGCGGACGTGCAAAAACAGAAAGTGCTGAGTGGAAGAGAGAGACGGAGACGAAAGGCGGGAAAGAACAGGAGTTGATGGCAAAACCAAAATCAGATATACAAAAAGACCGGAGTCGAACAACATCCTCGCCAGTGAGCGGGAGAAAACGCACGCAATGAGACGGCCAATTGAAGAGAGAAAGAAGGCAACACAAAGAAAGTCCTGAAGGAGAATTGAAGGTGAAGGGGAGTCCACTTCCTCCAAGCAGGAGGAAGTGGCGCGCTTCCAAAGACAAGAAGGCTTACTACATTTCACTCGGCAGCTTCTTTTCTTTTGCAAAACGATATTACTCCGCGCATTCATCTTTTGTTCCTTTTTTATATAACGTGATCGCATCGCCAAGTCGACGACATCGTCATCTCGCAAAATATACGCTCTATCGTTCGTTTTCTGTGTTTTTTTGTTTCATCTCGCTCCGTACATGGTCAGCAATGCGCACTGGACGCCGGCGAGTCTCAAGGACACCAAGCAACCGAGTGTGGCGAGTCAGATGAGAGAGAAAGAAATGATGAAGGGAAATGGAAAGGAATGTTCCAAGATCAACAGGAGGAAAGAAAGTAGAAGTGGGCGGAGGAAAAAGGAAGCCGCCGGAGCCAACAATCGCCGGACATGTGCTGGCAGACGGGGACGTCAACGCATCGTCGACAACGCCTTCCCCGAGACGGCGTAGTGCGTCGAAAAAGGACCGAAAGAGCATGCGCAGTGAAACAGTGACGAGCTACACAAAAGCGTCTCGCAGCCTGTCTGCGTTGCATGTGCGTTGCAGGCGCTCTCGCTGACCGGTGAACAAGATTGCGAAAGTGCTTTCACCAGAAGCGCCATGTTGGAAATGGCACCAGCTATCTTCCAACTCCTACCTTTTTTTTTTTTTGCCCCTTCAATGCGCATCACACACACCGAAAAGAGGAGTGCTGTTTCAAGAATGTTCCGAAGAACACAGAACTTTTGATTTCATTTGATTATTATGTGTATCTTTACGTCCCAAAACCACCATATGATTATGAGAGACGCCGTAAAGGAGGGCTCCCACCATATGATTATGAGAGACGCCGTAAAGGAGGGCTCCGGAAATTCTGACCACCTAGTGTTATTTAAGGTACACCCGAATCCGAGCACACGGGGCAACAGCATTTTCACCTTAATCTAAAACGCAGCCGCCGCAGTCGGGATTCGATCCCGCGACCTGCAGGTTAACAGCCTAGTACCTCAGCCACTAGACCACAGCGGCGGGGCAACGCAAAACTTTTGAGAGGAAAGAACAAATAAAAGAAATTAGGACAAGATCAAGCCCCATTCTACATAGCCTCGGCAATCTTTTCCGGCTAATTATACGCTCGAGCGCCATGCAGGGTCAAAAGGGAGCGAAATAACCATCTGATATGCCCGAACGATACAAATACCCGCTTAATGCGAAATGATATGCCATTTTCCGTTAAAGCTGCATACGAAAGTTTACCCTGCGCGGAATGTGAGAAAACTGTGCTGTTGACTTCCCTCGCGAGGCTTAGTATACACTGCAGGAGGCCGCACACGCACTCACTGGTTTTACAGAAACCTATAAGCCGAAGCCTTCTGCGGTATAGCTATATGGCTTAACGTTTAGACGAAATGGCTAACGTCATTTCGTCGCGTGTGATCAGATTCTGTGAACCCACTACTTGCGCACATCTCCTGATATGAACAATGTATGAACACAAGAATACGAGAAAAAAAAAGCAGATCGGAGAGGCACATTTATCTACGCACGCCTTCGTCAACGCATAGCCTAACGGCTCGAGATTCATTTTACCGCGATTGAGAGTTAAACGCTCGGAAACGGGCTTAGGGCGTCCGTCTAATAGGCCGTTATCGTCAAGCGCATCTGCAGTTTCACCTTCAGTGCCACCACATCACGGGAGATAACTGTACATCACCACAACCGTTTCAACAGGATTTAGAACTCCTTCTATATATACGGTAATGTGCATACGGACGCAGGATAGACCAACCAATGAGCTATAGCGTAGCCTTGCGCATGATAATTTCAGTTCTGTTTTGCAATGTCTTGTATTCTGATGACACGCTTGCGTCTATACCGAAGTATACTTGAGGCTAAACCGTTCAAAGTTGTAGCAAACTAGGACGAACGGATGTGCAACGTGAAGATGTGTACTGCTCCTTGCAATGGCGGGTGTCCACTGAGCCATGCATGCTACTGCCGCACAGCACAGAAGTCAGCAATTTAGCTCCCTCTCTTTGTATTTCTTTTTGTTGGAGACACTTAACGGACCAGATGTCTGGAGAGAAACAAGACGTGCCTCTTCAACCTTTACGCAACGCTCCGTGTCTGTGCTATATCTATATCACTGTGATCAGGCAAGAGCTCATTGAAAGACTGTCACTGTGCAGGCAACGCGCAGCAAATTTAATCTTCATCAGCGAATATCGCCGTATACCAAGGGCAGGACTTCGCGGAATTGAAACAAGCCGACGTAATCGCCAAAGCTTTGAACAGGGAGGCTACCGAGGGGGAAAAAGGGGGTTTGAAAGGTAAGAAAAAGACGGAGCCACAGTCTTCAAAGCGCGGTAAAACGTATGCGTTTTGCAGAAGTTCGGGCTAGTTACCACGTAATATCGCCTAATTAAATGTTCAACGAGTTTACACGTAATTACGCGGCCGGTAAGTTTCGGAGGTACAGTCAGTAGACAAGGCACTGGCAAGCTATAGCTTGCCAGTGCCTTGTCTACTGACTGTATTACCTAGCTTTCAGGAGGGTGCAGACGTCGGCATATCCGTTAACAGTGTCCTGCCGAACTCTATTACGACTATTCGTAATTACGAATATTTTGCAGACATGTTACGAATGTTTCGAAATATGTGAAACCCTCAAGCGCAGCAGTGATGGGAAGGCACGGTACATCATGTGTAGCGTAGCATGCGACGTCACTGACACCTTTACCACTTGCTAATTTGCTCCTAATGGGTTATATATGCCACCTCCTCCCCCACACACACACGCACAAAAAAAATAAAGACGAGAATCGTGGGAACAATGCAGGCCTATAGAAAAGCGTCCAAGCCCAGAAACGCCCACAAAAAGAGCGGAAAGTTGAAAGCCCGGAATGGCCCACATAAAGCAGAGTCGTGTGTAAGTGAAGAGAAACAAGGATGCCTCAGATTTCAAGGTATATATGCAGCAAATGAACTAGTGCATAAAGTGTAAACTTTTGTTTCAAAGTCTTTGCAAGGCAATTTCACTACTTTTATAAACCAGAATTATGCAATTTCACTGCCTTTAGCCATCCGCAACAAGCAATTTAATCGCGTTTTAGGAGTTATATGGTCGTTGCCGCTGCGCATAGGTAGCAAGTCCCGCCTAGCATCCGTCCTTGTTGTTCAGCGATATACATGAGCATTTACAATCCCCCATAGTGTTTGTACCACAAATGGCAGAAAGCGAAGGAAGAACAAAAGCTGACGGGACGGAGGAGGGAAAGGGGTGCCCGCCGTTTACTCCTTCGTTCGATTGTCGCTGATCGCGTTGTTTTCGATGGAACGCGTTCAACGCGAACATCCCATCAGCAGCGGCGCCGGGCACAGTTGGCCCGCTTCTCCAGACACCACCAACACCGAGAGAGAGAGAGAACTTTGGTGGCGCTTCTTTTCATTTTGTCCGCGAGGATATGTATTCCAACGGCGCGGCTGAGGGCAAGCGGAAAGAAATTACCCCCGTGGGACGACGCAAAGAGAGAAAGCAAATAACAACGAACAGATCTACAACGAGGTAGAGTGGCACATGGGCAAAAGCCGGATAGCGTAAACACAACAGCAACCAGTTGACCGAGGCCGAGGGAAGTAGAGAGAGAGAGAGAGAAAGCGACGAAAGGGAAAGAGAAGGAGACAACGGGTTGAGACGGCGCGAGGTGTCGATTCCAGCGAAAAAGGGAGTCGATCGCGCATCCGTTCCACGAACAAAATTGTGCTGTCCCGTAGCGACGCCGGTCCAGCCCCGTGACGTCAGAGTAGGGTTCAGAGCGCACGGCATCGCAATAACACGGCGCTAATCGAGGCTGCAGCGACGCGATTCGGTATGCGCGCGAGAATCGTGTTTTTCTTTTCACTTTTTTCGGGGTGGGAGAAGCGAGAGTGGCTGCCTTCATTTGCGCAAGCTAATTTACAGCGAGCTTCGCGAAGCACGTCGTGTAAATTTAAATGAAAGCGCATCGCCACTGAGTGTGCGCCTATAAACTATAATCGCAACTGCCGCTGCTGCGGGCGAATAAATCTCGAAAGCAGGAAAGTAGCCCGATAGAGGAGACACACGAGGAGGAGGGGACAGATAGATAGAGAGAGAGA